ACGAAGAAGGGAGGAAATCGGAGTGGGGTATAACTATGATCGAAGTAGGAAGCTACACCACAAAAACATAGGGGGAAATACTGGAGGAGAAATACATTGGGGTGGCGAAACAAGGGTCAGAAAACTGAATATGCCGATCATTGAGAGAGAAGATACACATGGGTAGGTCTATCAGGTGGAAGGATACTTTGCAATAAATGGGTAACTGAGGAAGAGAAGATCATGGCGCCAGGAATATGTTTGGAGGAAAAGGCTCTAGCGTGGTTCCATTGGATGGAGGCAAGATATCTAATATAATAGTGAGAGGAGTTTAAAGATTGTTTATTGGAACGTTTCCGAGACATCCGGGAATGAGACATACAAGAGCAATTCTAAACTCTGACTCAGTAGAGGATGGTCATAGAATACAATGAGAGTTTCGAGCCCTTGTCGAACAGCTGAGGCGTATTTCTGTTGCCGCGTTGAAGGAACAATTCTTAAAGGGCCTGAAGCCTGACATCCGAGCGGTTATCCAACCATTGAGAACATGTGGATTGAGCCAAATAATGGAGCTCGCCAAAGACAAAAAAAATGACAAATTAAATAAAAAATATTTCTCTCACATTTCATAACAGAGATATATTATGAATATGCTAAAAGAAACCAAAATAATAGACTATCGGTAATGAGAAGATCTAACTTAACGAAGACAAAAATTGAACCTGTGAAGAAGAAATTAATGCAAACACAAAAAAAATATCAAAATTTAATAGGAAAACTAATCTAATTATATCACGCTTGCCATAATATCTCATTTTCAGTCACAAAGAACTGAAACTCCAAGCGGCCTATAGAATTCTCATATATCTTAAATAAAGCCCAAAAAAAATTATATACAGAAGGCATGTTATAAATTGAAAGAAACACATATGTGAATTATACTAGATCACTAATTGTAGATTCTTTGGAGAAAATTTAATAACTTCGAGAAACAAAAAATAGCATGCAGTTTCTCGATCAATCGTCGAAGCCTAGTTCAAGGCCATTGCCCAAGAGATATGTCTGCTTCTATGGATCAACTTCATATTGTAAGATTTAAAAATTAAGTGTTAAGAGCCTATAGAAATATATTGTGATAATAAATCAACATTAACATAATCATACCAAACATATTGAGGTTAATAAGTGCTTCATAAAAGAGAAATTTAAAAGTATGTTGATTTGCACTCCATATGTACCTATACATAATTAATAGGTCAACTAATTCATTATAGCCTCATACTCAAAATATTACAAGCAAACTTAAAATGTTCAATCTCAACCATCTAGTTTGACACAGTGTTGAATTTATGTCTCTCTTCCACATTGGGTCGAGCTCACTCACTCTCCATTCATAACGAAAAACTTAAGACACGTATATCAAAGTTTTACACCATTGGATCAATTTCTCTAGTCCTCATATTACAATATATGTGCTTCTCTATAACATTAGCAGCCCCTTCTTTAATTCCTCCCCCTACTCTTTTGATTTATTCTTATTTTAAGATTGTAAATGAACCAATGCACTTGATGAACAACTCAAGCTCAACTTGATTAATACTCAATCAAATTTGATCAAAAAATTCAATAAACGTGTTTGAACATTTTTTAAAAGCTCGAATGTTAAATGATTGTTTATTTATATTCACGAATAAACACATTTATTATTCAATAACTAATTTTATATCATATATATAGTATATTATTTAAATAAAATATGAATAATTAGAACTTATTTAATTATATATATAATAATAACATATTATAATTTAATATCGATATGCACTATAATTTCATGCAATTTCTTATTTATTTATTTCAATGAAATAATTTATTAATAATTATTAATATTTTATTGTAATAAAACTTAGTTGCGACTTATTATTATCTTATTTAATTGATGTAAACTAGTTAAATATTAATTTAAAATTTATTTAATTGCTTATTTGATTATACCTGGTAAATTTATTTGGTAATAATTTTAAATTAAAAGCTAAATACTTACTTGAATTTTAACTTTCTAATTAACTAGTTAAAATACTAACTTAATCAATATAAATAAATCAAGTGCAAACAAAATACATTTTTTTAAATTTTAATCAAACCAAATATGAACAGATATGTGAAAGCTCGATTCTAGCTCGAGCCGATAAAGAACTAATAATAAAGTAAGCTAAGTCCAATCCAGAACACACTAAGCTCAACTCAGCTCAATTACAGGCTTGCTCTCAAATAAGTATAAATATCACCCTCTTATACAAAGAAATTACTAAAAATTCTTAAGAGATTTTCTCCATTATTTTGTTTTCCATACAATATTTTACAGGAGGAGTATTGAGCTTAACATTACATAGCGCATACAACATTTTTTTTCTCATGCAACATACCTAGGTTGATTGCTAACCTTTAAAAATTCCTGGAGGGCTGAACATCCATATTCAATCAATGGACAAAGCCAATTGATCCATTATGCTATCCTCACTAAATGAACATAGTTGTATGACATAGCATAAAACTAAATAAAGTGATTGCCATTTATTGTCGCATTTTTTATCACCTAAATGTGATCTCATCATCTCAGACAGACCACATCACTAATCTAGCATGACAAATCAAGCCAGCACTATCTAATTTTACCAATTCAATTCCTTTTAGTCTTCATTGACCTAGCCCAGCCTAGTTGCCCTGAGCCCATCGTTGTTGAATTGGCCAAGCCAATTAGTCTTTTGTCGATCATGTAGCTTAAATTTGGTGTATAAAATTAATCAATTCAATTAATCTGATAGACAACCAAAGGCTAATTGATTAAACTCTAAAGCTTTTGAAACAAATGATCAGTAATTTATTCTTTTAACTGAATTAAATCAAACAAAATTAGTCTAAAGCTCCAGCCTAACCATGTATCGTAGCTCCAGCACACTTGTACATAGTTGAATTTACAGTATGTTAGCTTATGTTGACCTTGATTGATCTCGAGTTCCACCAGACCCTTATGGATCTTAGCTTAAAGGTCAATCATTGATTGAACTAAATAAACCTAGCTAAATCATGTATGATATAACATAGTGTGTGACTCCAGCTAAAACGTGAACTGAAAACCGGTTTACTGCTAACCTGATTTTGCTCATGCACAACTCTACTACAAAACTTCATGTGCATACAATAAGCTTATGGGCTTCCTTTGGTTTGAATTCATGTTATATAAAAGTTGATATTATATGAATGAAAATATAATAGTATTTGTGGCAAGAATTATAAATTGTTATAACTATGAACTACTATCATAACTCTTGCAGGTATTATTTGTCCTATCCAAAAGTTGTTCATGCTAGCTTTTAATGAAAGCTACAACCACGCTATATCTGGCAAAAGCGAACCACAGTAACCATCCATGCCTATCTCTAGTTACATGCTAATCCATAAAGCTATTCCTTCCAAGCAGGTTTTTCCCAAAGGAAAATCACCATCCACAAGCGTTAAAAACCATGCTGCCTCTCTCCAAACCTGCTTCTCTCATTCTAGGCCTTAGTCCCCATTTTCTATGTACAAAGGCCCCCTCTTCTTTAAAAGCAAGAGGAGAAAATGGGAATTTAGCTTCTTTCAAAAATTCTGTTTTCTCCCTCACCATCCTCTCGTCCGAAAACCAAGCATTCAAATGGAGAGGACATTACAGAATATCACCCAAATCCAGAAGAGCTTATAGCGGAAGGTGAGGCCTCCATTGGGGGATGTGGACTTTAAATGTCTTCTTGTTGATGCTTCTGCTAATCCGGAGAATGCACAATAAAAAGAACGGGAAGAAGAGTCATAAAGTTAATTTTTCATCAAGAATGGCAAAAGAATTGATGAATATACTGTCTTGAAACAGCCCACAGTGAAAAGAAAGGTCAAGCTTTTGTTAGTATTCCTAAGGTGTAACTATGAATGGAATTCAATATGGAGTCAGATCTAAGGGCCCATCAGCTTTTGTTAAAGCATCAATATTAGCTTCCATCTAACACAAGAAAGGGATACACCACCTGAACTTCAACAACATCTAATGGAGAAAATGATCAAGGAATTGAAACCACTATCTTGCCTTGCCTACAATTATAACAGATATTAGATAATATTGATAATGCTAATAACTACACTTTAGTAGTGATGAACTGATACCACACACGGACACCACTTGGTTAATACATTCAAAAGTCGCTACACATTCATAGTGCTAATACAACACTACAAAATCATTTCAAAAGCACATATATTACTCTTCGATAGCATTTGATGCCATATGTAGCCTTTATGGGAAGTGTCATAAAATTATAAAACCAAATTAAACTAAAAAAAATATATGGACTTCAATATAATGCATAATATTACCATTTATCATCTATTTTTTGCATTTTAACTTAAGAATGAAATTGAATACCTACATAATTTTTACATGTGTTAACATCATTGTTGTAATGAGGTTCATTTGATTAGGTATAAATGTACTAAGTACAATCTACTTCTCCATGTCCCTAGCCCAGTGTCTAAAACTGACCAATTAGAGGCACGCCTCTCGCAATCACAGAAAAAACTGTGAAGGAGATGGAGACACAGAAATGAGAGGAAAGGAGAATGGAGATAAAAGAGTTAGTACGATATTATAAAAAAGAAGAGAGAATAGACATTTGAATGAAGAGTAGAAAAGAGGCTAGTGAGAACATGATGAGATTCTTAATGCTGGGGAATAGGCATGGAAAAATAAAAAAAAATGACTAAAACATGAAGAGTGAAATGTGCGGAAGAAAAATTGTAGGGCTGAATTAGTAGAGCTTACAATAGGTATGATCAACAATTTCATGCAATTGTCAAACGTAACTTTGTAATAGTAATAAAAAGCTAGTATAAGAGCCTCTGACTCGGGCTTTTCTTTGATCTATTTGAAGAAATGGAAACTTACGGTTCAATATTAAAAGAAAAAGGCTAGTCCTAACGGTAAAAGCACATACATGAAGCACAGAATGTGCTAGTTCATGATGTCCATTTGCATGTCCAATCGGGTTAGGGAGATCTTCTGAAAGTTGCCACGCGGACAGATCTCCTGGAATTTTCATGGCAGTCTAGTTGTCAAGAATAAAGCTCGGCAATAGAAAAATCCCAAAAAAGGCATTAAATACAAGAATAAAAAATTCTATAACGATCATTCGTACCATATTCAGAAAGACCTTCATCACCGAAAACCCAATTATTTTCTTCATCTTCACCTGAAAAAAGAAAAATATTGAGGCAACATGCTACTTGTCTGTATGTTTATTAAAGATACTCGAGAACAGTGCTCCAGAATTACCTTCCAGTGGCTCGGGATTAAGTTCTACACACTGACAAAAAATATCAAAGAGAGTATCCACTGCAAAACCTAAGTTAAGAATCCAAAATAATACCCATGGAATCTCAAGTGGGACATATGTATAAAAGAGGAGCTTCAATTTATTCCAACGTTCTGTTTGAACAAAACAAAAAACCTGTACTTGAATTGATTGCTAGAACACATACATGTAAAAGAATATAACGTCCTATTTTATGAATTTGATTATTATAAATTCCATAATGATTTAGGTCATTCTATATCTAGAAATTTTAATGAGGAACAAAATACAATTAAATTTAGGTGCAATTAACTTGTAACATAAATAGAGACTTTCAATGGAAAACACACTATTAATCGCAAAAAAATACTTGGTATTTTCAAAGAAAATAAAAAATTGCTAAAATTTAATTCAAATAAAACATCATGAATTCTAAAAAAATTAACTTGACGAAATCAAAGACCAAAAAAACCCACAAACGACTGAGATTTCATCATGCACAAAAAAAAAAAAAAAAAAAAAAAATCTAAATTGTATGAGTGTCAACATCATACAACATCTAACATCTTCTCCACAAATTTGCCCATTGGGGTTCACCACAGTACCAAACGTACCTAGCTGATCAATGTTTTTATCTTCGGCTGCTCTAATAAAAATAAAAGGTATCTAGTCCAAAAAAGGCAAGCCATTTACATGATCAACCCTAGTGCAAGAAATACCACCATGATCTTATCAGAGCAATATCAAACTATAAACGGTTAAATTGACATCAAATACATCAACTCAGATCTATCATAATCACAAAAAAGTTTTAGGTTAACCTAATATACTAACTGACCAAAGACGGGGCCTACTCAAAAGCTAGGACCTTTAACAGCCCAACTGACTGCAAGGCCTTACCATAGTCCTGCACTAGATAAAACTAAATCTAAATTTAACCCGAGACTCGGATGACCTAAAATTGCCTTGAGTTAGATAACTAAGTCCAAAAGAGACCCTTAAAGCCTCATCATCAACCTAAGGTTAACCAAGCCTAGAACAAATCTATCCTATGCTAAACTAAGCTAGCCCAGGCGAATAAACTTTCAATTCTTAGCAAATTCCTCAACCCTGGTCCTTAGAAATTGTTAAGGCCCATTGGAAAAAATTGAACCCAATTGATCCATTGGGTCAACCGAAAACAGGCCTAAAACCCACATTTGACAAAAACTCTGGTTGGGTCAAATGCTGTTTAATAGACTAACCTAGACTAAACATAAAAAAATCAAAACTACAAACATGTTCCCCTAGTAATGACTAGCCTAAAGCAATCCGAAAATCAGCCCTAACCCCAAATAGAGTTGTTGGTTTAAACCGTGGTTAAGCTGGGCTAAAAAGCCAAACAAAATGATTTTAAAAGGGCAAAAGGGTTGATAGTTGTAGCTCGCTTACAATTGATCAATGGCCTACCAACATCTTATCGGACCACCACATGCTCAAATATCCCCCATCAAACAAAAATTTTGTTATTCCAACCATCAAAACCCTCCCATTTCTTTCCATTCTAAAATTCAGCTCTATTAATTTCCTTGAGCTTTATCCAACTTTCCTAGAATCCTACATCATATAGAATGATCAAAGCACCTTAGATCAATCTTGAGCATTGGTCTCCAGAGCCTTCTAGACAACGCTAGTGCCTTCCAAGTCACGATAGAGCTTCATTCAAGTTGCAAATACTTCCCCTGGATGTAAAAAATGTTCCTAGTAAAATTAGGTGCAGACAAATAGGGTCTGTTTGAGCTTATCCAGCTTATCTAGATAAGCAACTTATTCAGATAAGACAACTTATCCAGATAAGTTGTCTATTTGTTTGGGGCAGCTATTAAAAAATGGTTGATTTGCATCTATTTGTGGAAAAATAATCATTCTGCCCCTGTTAGATAATGTTTTTTGTAACAGAACTATCTTGGCAATATATTTGATACGATAAAAGCAGAAAACTAATACATAAGTCCTCACTTATCAGTGAGTATCAAGATTGACAAAAAAAGGAAAAATAATTATTAAAATTACAATTAAAATTATGATAATATTAATTTTGTACTCGAAACGGAATATGTCACGAGATACACTGTCATCCAGGGATACTGTCAAACCCCGATCACTATCGACAGTCGAGTCCATGAATGTAGAAGTTGTGTTTCTTTCTTAAAAAGTGATAACAATGTTATTTTTTTATTTGATATTGAAGATCTAAGTGTCATGTGGGCATATAATAAAGTTAAAGTGTGTGATTAACATAATACCTGTGTGCTATGAATCTATGAATGTAAAAGCTCCTAAGAATTATATTGGATTAAAGAATTATTCAAATTGATCTTTCTCAACAATACCATTCATATGGATGAAAGAACTAATTGAATCATGTAAATTTGCAGGGATCTGATTCACCTTTCACCTTGGACTCGGATGAACTTGATTGCAGGATTAAGCAAAGGATCAATGAACATTGCATAAAACTCAAACGAATGAATGCAAACGATCTTACCAGAATCTTAAGCCAATGTACATTGCATAAAACTCAAATAAATGAATGCAATCGAGCTTACCAGAAATTGCATAAAAAGTTGAAAGGATTTGTATGGTTGGATAGATATTAACCTTAGTAAATTTAATTTTATTTTTGATATTTTCTTAATATCTAATATATAAGGTAGTTTTGCATGAAATATATTAATGAATAGAATGTGATAATGAATTTATATTCGTGGTTCTTGTGGCCACCTCTCTGCAAAGTCTCTCCTTTTCAATCATCGTTGCTTCATCTCTATTCTCTGCCTCCCACCCTTACAGTCAAACAGACACAAAGAAAAAGCTCAAGCCAATGTACATTGGATAAAACTCGAACCAACGAGCTTACAAGAGATTGCAAACCAGATGATAAACTATTATTATAAGCATTAAAAGATAAAAAGTTTGGTTTCTCCTAAAATAATGTAATTGAAACAACTACACATTTTCTAGCAAGTAGAGACTAATTAGTTGGTCGTGGCAAGTTGTAAAGCATAGTATACACCATCAGATGAAGAAGTTGGGGGTGATATGAAATCCACCAAAAAAATAAAAAATAAAACCTAATCTGGTTTTAATCAAGACAATCCATTTTAGCGTCCATAATGAAGGCCAAATTAGCATCAAGGGTTAAGGATAGCCTGGTAATAGTAATGGGTATTGTTTTAGAGTCAATGATGAAGGTCAATTTAGCATCGGTGAGGGAAGCCAGCTATGCATCAATGATGAGGAAAGTTTTGATTGAAAGGAGATCAGCTAAGTGTCAACGTAGAAGGCTACCTTAACAATGGTGATGAAGGTTAACTTGGAATCGTAGTGGGAGGCTGAAATAGCATTAGAGGCATCAATGATGAAAGCCAACATAACGTCAACAAGGGATGCCAATTTAGCATTTATGAAGAAGGACATCTGGGAATCAAGGAGAAAAGTGGCCATAGCATCGATAATGAGGCAAACTTAGCAACTATTGTGATGATCGATTTAGAATTAATAAAAGAGGTTAGCCTCAAAATTAGTGAGGGATGTTAAGTTCAAAAGTAAAAACCAATGTTGAGTTTCAAGGTAACAACTCTTGCTCCACTTAAGAGATATTAAGTTAAAATCCGTAAAGCAATCCTTTATGAAACATGCAACGAAGGATCCAGCTGTTCACTATGAATGTGGATTCCTCAATTGACCAAGGAAAACTTAGTACAAATAATGTCAATCAACTCAAGTTTTATGCAATACCCCAAAAAAGAGTGTTCAATGGTCTACCTATGAGTACAGATTCTGTGAACAACAATAAAGCTTTAGGCCAAATCTGAACAAAAAGCCCCACATCAAGGACTCACAATTCTGTATTTTGTTTAATTGGTCAAAATAGAAGCCTCTCAACCTTGATTGATATCCAATTTCGCAAATTTAAGCATACACAGGCTTCATGCAACATGGTTGAGCCTATTTGTGGTTTTTTTAGCCTATTTGTGGTTTTTGGAGCCTATTTCTATTTGTGGTTTTTGTAGCCTATTTGGGCATGTTACGGCACCGATTCAGCTATACCAAATCAAATGAAACTCTGGCTCAACCTTTTGCAAATGCTTCGAGACCTCCGCACATCACTTTAAATTGTGCAAGATCGAAAAACCATTCTACTTTAAAAGCGATGCAATGACAGCCACATCCTATAAAACACAATTTATCAGAACTAAAACATCGAAATCCAAAGAGGTTGCAAATCAACATTAAGAAAGCATAAAACACTATAAGACAAGCAAATATGACTATTATGGATAGTTTACTCCAATTGGAAAAAAAGGATCTCTCGCAAAGAGAGGAGCAAGTTGAAATCACCTTCGAATCTCTCCCCAAAGATTTTCTCACAAGAAGAAGGAGAAAGGATGAGGGCGAGAATGAAGAAGAGGATCAACAGCATGGGGTTGAGCTTCAGCTCCTACTAGCAGCTTGAGTGAGCAGCAGCTAGAGCACTCTCCACCCTCTCGACGGGAACGAACTTGGTGAAATTGATTGTCGTTGTGCAACATGTCAAGCTTTGAACCTCGTCTTGCTTTCTCTGCGGGGAAGAGGAGAAGAGGAGAGCTAAGTACAAACGAGCCAGTCTAACCTCAGAAGAAGACAATGCACGATAGAAGAGGGACGAGAAAGAGGCCATGGAGTAGAAATACTCACAGATCACAGTTATGAGAGATCGGAGAGAGGAGAAAACGTGAAAGATGACAAGGGCGATAGGCAGACGAGAGGAGGCGAAGAGAAGCAGGAAAAAGCAAAGGAGAGTCGCGGGGGCAGCGGGGCAACAGAGCCTCAAAGGAACGCAGGCTGCGAGGCCAATCCTGCGGTCGCGTTTAATACATTCTTCGATCAAATTATTTTGATGCGCCTGCGCCTACGCCACGTGCAAAACAAACTTTAGCGGGAGCGCTTTCAAAATGCACCCGCAGTAAAAAGCTGCCCCAAATGAGTCCTTAATTAATTTTGAGCCTAAACACTAAAAATTAAACTCTAAAAACTAAAAATAAAGTTGGTATTTTTCATAAGCCTCTTATTAAATGGAACAAGCACTAATTAATTGGATCAAACACTAATTAATCTTCCAAAAATTATGAAATAATAAGGAATACCCTCATGCATTAACTAAAGCCTAATGAAACCTTAAGTCACTCTATATTCAAGGGATTTAAGAAATCTAATTTAGAGTCTTATCTATTTACCTTAATTTTCATTTTATATAAGCTATTAATTACATAAATAATCTCTTGAATGATAAGAAAATAATCATTTTATCTAAATAATGTCATTTTAACTTTAAATTTTCTTAATTAATCAATTTGAAACATAAATAATCTCTTGAATGATAAGAAAATAATGGAAGAAAATTAAACATTTTAAAAGGAAAAAAATTGACTTTATATCCCCATAATAATTGTACTCGGAAAAATATCCCCATTATCTTTTATTAGGCCAAATATCTCCCAATGTACATTTAGGACAAAAATCTTGTTATGTGTATCATATTCAATAGTGGCTCATGTAGACACAAATCAGCAAACTTTTGAACCACTCAATCTATCTAGCTCCAGGAATCATCTCCACCAGTCACATGAGAGATTCAAAGTTAACTTTAATAATTTTTTTTTTAAAAAAAGACATTTTTTTCTTGAACAAGGTCGCCTTCGATGATGCTTTAGTCTCACACTTTATAAATGACTAAAATCATCAAAAGAAGAAAAGATATTTTAAAAATAAAAATAAAATAATAGTTATTCAAGTCATAGATTTATTCTTCTACATGTCTTACAGCTTCTATTTAAATTCCTCATTCCACCAATAGAATCACAAAAGGCACCAACCCAAATGAATAGCCATAGAACCCATAATGTATGATAGATGCTACCAAATGAGAAACCTGCTAAATCACTAAAAAAAATTAAAACAAGGGCCGATAAAACTTACTAAAATAGTTACAAATAGAATTAACCATAGAACATGCAAGAGCAGTAAGCCGCCTATAATAAAATACTAAGAATAGATAAGATACCACTATTTTAATATGCAAGGAAAACCTATAAGAATAGCAACAACATCAAGTTACTATAACAAACAATCAATGTCGAAGTACTTTAAACACAATGATCGTTAAAAATGACAATGCTCTTGGCATGCTTCACTAAAGTTCAAGAGATATTTACAACCCAAGCACCCTTGCTCACAGCACATGTACTTTACTCACTTTCGTTATTTACCGATTATCATCACAATCTCATCAGCATCTTCCATGACAATCGTTTCCATTACCGACTTCAATGAACCACATGAGGCCAATCACACCCATCTTCCACCCGCAACCCTCTTTTTCATAACCTCCACGTCTCTCTCTTCTCTCTCTCTCTCTCTCTCTCCATCCTCATAAGTTATCATTCCTCGTTTCACCAGAAATATAAATCATATGCAAACATAAACTTCCCACATTCAAGGTTTCCTATAATAACACAGCGATCCTTCATTCCATAATCACATATCTCGTGATAACCACCAAAAATTTTGCAACATCAATCTTGTTAAACACTACAATCATTATTAAGCTCTAGCAAGTATCTTCATCATCAACTTCAAGTTCAATGGTGTTATAGTCAGAGGCATATAGCATCAACATTTTATGAAAATTAATATTATTTTGAACATCCTGCAATTGTCCTTGTGAATGTCAATCCACTAATCCCAATCCATTAGATCTCCTCGGCCCTTATGCATATAATGATGATTATAATTTCTCTTACTAAAATAGTTTTAATAATGCATTTATTAAAAGACTTGGGTTTCTATTAAATGAATTCTTAAATAGGTTACACCATGTAACAATCCAATTCAAAAATGCACATTTGCCAATTTTCATGCAATCCACCACATAGGCTCCACAAATTCCTTTGACAATATAAATCTTAGAACCTTTTGGAATTCAATATAATGATCCTTCTTTTTATCATGATGGCCTGCATTAGAATTATTAGAATGGGAAATATATTTTAGATAATCATTTAGAGAATAATGAGTTATCATTATTTGATTATAAAGCTTGATTCGAAAATATTATTGGAGATTAAAGGAGAGGCTCTGATTGGTGATGTTGTGTACTTGATGTTATATGTATAATCCCGGGCATCAAGCCACAACTTAAATAAACACTAAGGCTTTGATTGATAATATTGTGCTGTTGACATTATATACTGATTGATGCAAAATAAAGCCACCACAAGTGTGCATTGTAGCTTTTATCACATGTTTATCGCACAGATTGAAATTGCATGTAAGTTTTTTTTTTTTTTTTTTTCTTTCTCTCAAATAGAGCGCTGCTAAAAATCAAAATCAAACGAGGACTGAGACAGCTAAAACCAATTTTCATTTTAGTGAAAGGCTGCTTTATTCGGCAACTTAATAAAAATCCTCTGGATCAATCAGGCAGTAATGGCATATAACGCATAAGCATCAAATACAATCACTGAAGTTACCAAATCGTGACAAATGCTTGGATGGTAACCGTAAGTGTCAAAGCGTACATACAGAATCATGTGCTTCATAAGATTTAGAAAGATTAAAAAATATATCGTGAATCTATGCATGCAATTGTCATACAAAGTTGAAATAATAACAAGAGATAGTGCAATCTCTTGATCATGCAAGAAGATTATGACACACCTGTTTCTCTAAAGCAGTTAAGCTTATCTCCAGTTAAAACTCTTTAAGAAATTATGATGGATGCGACAATGCACAAATAAAGATTTTATTGGGGCGCAGCAGCAGCCAACGCACATGGCTAGGGGCAGCATAGGACCAGCCAGGAAGCAGTTTTTTTTTTTTATGTAGGTTAATGAAAAGAACCTCGCTGCAGGCACAAACACTGTACAGGCCAAATGGAGCAGTGGGAGTGGTTACACTATGGACAAAGAGGTGTAAAACTGCTTTAAAAGCCAAAGCACGGATACAGAAATCTGGCAAAAATCAACCAGTATAATATCTGTATGCAAGCATGACATTGTAATCGTCTAAACATGAATGTTCAACAATAACTGCTGAAATCTGAAAATTATCGCATAACATAGTTGATTATTTATCTTTGAAAACATATTAAGGAGGGAACATATTATGGAGGCACATTGGATATGTCACAACACATGCAAGCAACAATAAAACAATAAAATAACCTTCACGGAAAGCTGAAAAACTGACATAAGTCAAATATCTCCTTAGCCTTATTATTAGAAAAAGAAACAAAAATGTAGGAAATAAATCTTTTACAACATATCAAATACTGCAAGGATACACTGATTAGGATCATATGGTACAAGTCTCATCTCTGTTATCTTCGATATGTCTATCTCGTCAGGACACTCATCATCCAGACCCTCAGGATCATCATCTTCAGCAGCTTCAACCTCAATCTTCAGAAAAGAATTACTCGGGATGAGAATCAAAATTCTATTCAATGCTAATAAAAATAAATATTTTCATGAACTCCATCATGGCACCAGCATTAGAAATTATGATATGTAATGTGTACTACACTGGGCTAGAGACGCCAGTTCAAGCAATTAAAATTGAATTTCTACAGGATCATGGTTATGGTAACTTGGAAAAGTAGATTTTTAAGCAGCTCCACCACACAACTTGACAAAATCACTCATATAAGTGAGGTTCTCAAATGCTGCATCTGTTTTCAAACACACAGACCAAAAAAAAATCTGTCATTCCTAACAGCAGCCCCTAACCAATCCAAAAGTTCAGGCCTAATCCCCAACTTTTTCAAATATGACATTCCAATTATCTAACATATGGATTGTGGCATGCAAACTACAATTAAGAAAAAAATGAGACATCAACTTAATTAACCACCCTTTCGCTAAGGTCAAAAGCCTTAACCAGTTAAGAAGCATCTTGAAATATTAAGAGGGAAGGCTTGTATCAATCATGAAGCATTGAAAACCAGTTTAAACCTTTATTTAAATAAATACAATTTGGTAGCTCATAAAGAGACCCACAACTTTCCAAAGTTTCAAACATGACTGAAATTCAATCAAGTATATGACTATCTTTCTGTTTCACAAAATTAGCGAAACTTGAAGCATGGTAAAACCGCAAAAGTTTGCAATGCAAGGGATCCTTGATGTTCTCGAACATTGATTGCCTAAACCCATAGAATGCAGAAATTTGTTCAAATCGATTATAATTCATGTTGTGCCTTGAGTATTATGCACAAAAGAAAACCAAGGACAAGAATTTTCTTCGGATAAACCACAAAGTCATTTTTTCAATTGAGATCAATAGCTTAACTCTAGTTTTTAATATGCGACAAACTTTTATGTGCTTGTTTATTCCAAAGAAAAACAAGCAGGCCACTACTCAAAGTATGTGATGAATTAAGCTTGCAGGAACAAGAAAAATCAAAAAGACTTTACTGCACTTAAATCGATCAGCAAACAGGAAGAAAATCACTACATGTTCATACAAACACTTAACTCCACATTCTATCAGGTGACAACTTTCACTTTAACAATATTAAATGGTTCATGATAGATTTTTTGGACCAAATAAATTTTGAAGGATGAAACTGGTACATATCTTCAATAATTGCTCCAAATGAAAAGAATAGAAATTGAAACTTCAGCCCAAAATAAGAAATTCTTAATAGTGATGCACAGTAATGTTTACTATGAGAAGTATATTAATAATCATTGGAGGATCAATCTCAAAATTATTATGTGTAAAAGAAAATAACCAATTGCCTAGCAAGAACACAAGGTTGCACTCAATGCACAATTTTCCAGGTAATGCAAATACTACAAAAGGATTGATGTAATCAACCTTATACCAATTTCAACTCAGAAAGAGAAAACACAAAGCCATAACCAAAACACAAAAGTGGCACTAAGCAGTAAATTGTAAATGACAAATCAATTGAAGGCGCTCGGCATATTATAACACTATTAATGATGCTTGTTAGCTCTTTAAAGGGTACTAGAGCTTGACGCCTCAATTCAATATCATATGAAAAAAACAGTGCAAATGGAGAAATATGTTTTAAAATAAAATCAATAATATGGAACTAGAATAGGCAATATGGAAAGTAAATAAAAAAATGACAAACGCTTGACAGCTATCAAAAATTTGCCGAAAGCAGGAAAGTGTTTTTTTTCTCTTTTTTTTTTGGCGGAAATTGACCCCATATCAGGCTGCCTGATAAGTAGTGAAGTTCTCAGGTTAGTAACAAGAGCTATTAAGATCTTCAGTTTGCATCAGACTCCAAAATGCATTCTCCTTGTACTAAGTTTTGACATCAATCCAACAAATGAATATGTAAGAGGCATCCTTACCAAGAAGAACAAACCCACAAAATGGAAACCCTAGACTGAAATAACAATTGAACGTGATCATGTGTCCACTAGGCATCGTTCATCAAATTTGACACTTTTGACACTGAACTGTAGCTATAAATGAATAAAAGAAACTTTTTTACAAACTCGTCCACTCAATGAAAAAGAAAAACTTTAAATATAAAAAGTAGTACAAAGATATTCATTTCTTTTAATATGTTGACTAACAGACTACTTTTCTTTAAAATCCTACCTAACTACTAACACCTTGTCCCTACAGCTAGTGAATTGCACCGCGGTTTGCTAATTTGCTAGAGTGAGCTACTCATAACTATTAAAAGCCTGTAACCACTACTACAAGATCACCCAAGCTAGTATGGGCCCACAGGCACTAGTATGAGCATTCATAACATTGGTCAGATCATTCTAAAATAATCACACCAATTTGTACAAGATAATTATGGGAAGCTTGCACCAACTCAATCTTTTTAGCACCAAAGCCAATACAAGCTCAAACAATCGCACTAATTTGGGGAATTTGTCCAGCCACTTTCCTTTCTTTTATTTTCTTTTCTTATTAATCTGTTGTCAACGTCTGGGTTGCCGAAATCAAGATGCTGATTTTTTGTTGCCAACCTGCCATCAACCTAAGCATATATGTTTGGGTTGATTGGGTTTCAAAAATGGATTACAGAGAAACTTAAGTTGGCATAAAACTTGGCACTAGTGGTTAGGCTATAAAAAATTCAGCTATTAGCATCTAGGTAGCTAGTAACCATACTGACATTACAACTCAGGCGTTTATATAAGTTGCCACAGCCCCAATCGTGACGGCATGGTCTGCCAAAATCCAAAGTATGAGTTGGACTACAAAAACAACCACTCTTTTAAAGCAATCCTAATCATCCTTTATTATAGCACAGGATATTAACATCCTTGTTTACAGACTGTATTAAAACTGTGCTTTCTCATCAAAAAGAAAAACTGCAAGACATTTTTAGAGATTAATATATGGTAATCAGAACTAAAAAAAAGTTATAAATAACATTATTAAATAAAAAAAAATATGTTAATGTAATCATGACTTTAAAAAAACAACACTTAGCAAGAAACTTAGTTTCGCCTCCCTCTTGGATCATTAAAATAAAAAAAAGAACTAGAAAATTTTTATTTTTGGGGATTCCAAATTGACCGAATAATATATTGTGCTTTACATTTTAAACACTACTGAACTGCATATTTTGAAAGAAAATGGTTAAAAGATACAAGAGAACATCCCATAAAACAATATCACCAGGGAATCAAATCATCTTAATAAGTTAACCTCTCGGTCATCAATAATTACAGCAGTAAGCTTTTGCACTCTCTAAATGTAGAATATCCATGAAATGAGATACACTACTTGCCTCAGAATCGCCCAAATAAGCATGAAAAAGTAAAGACCACAACCTTCACCATCAAAAATTTTAGATAGCCGACAAGGTTTAATTTTCTTTCCAAATGGCACTAAATGTAACAACAGTGACAGCAACCGGACTAAAAATAGAGCTTGACCCCATTAAATCAGCAAATATTAAACCAAGAAAATGAAAAGTGAGTTAAGAAGGAAAAATAAAAGGCCAGAAATACCTGAGTGTAGATACAGGGTGAAGGGTAAGCCACGGGATCCCTAGACACGGCATGGAGGGAAACAGACAAGAAATCTACCGCGTAGCCTCTGTCTCTTACTGTATCACTCAACCAAATCACTCTCCTGTTCCCCGAAGCAGGTTAGAGAAGAATAAGTCAATCAACTTAAAGAAAATAAGAAAAAAAATAGTGGGAGGGAAAATGACCTAGTAGAGATGTAGAGTGTGCCTGGTGATTCCGGCGAGCGACAACCGAGGACAATCGCGACACCGTCCTGGACGTGCATGAGCTCCTCGCCGCCAGCGAAGTCGAGTCGGGGCTGCCCGATTCCTTCGCCTATCCGGTCGGTGAAATCCTTTAGCCCTAGAATCATAGCGCTGTAGTTTGCAATCACCCCCTTCCTCTCGCCACCACTCGAGAAGAGCCGACCACAAGCCTTTCTGGGTTTGTAAGTGTTTTACAGCAGCGCTTTAGGACGCAGTTTGGTATAAGGGTGGCGTTTTAAAAAATTGTCTTACCCTTTGCTTTACGCATTTTCCTCAGCTTATTTGAAATCGTTTTTATGCTAAACGCAAGTCACGGATCGAACCCTGCGGCCTGTTTGCAGATTTGCTTTACGCATTTTCCTCAGCTTATTTGAAATCTTGTTTGGGTTTTATGCTAAACGCAAGTCACGGATTGAACCCTGCGGCCTGTTTGCAGGCTGCGTTTCCGGATAAATAGTTTATCCTAAAACGCACAAGCTGCTCCAAACACACCCTTAGTGTGTTGTCTAATTAAAAGGTGGCATGCGGATATGCAGGTCCCACAATTAAAAAATTAAATTTCTATTTTTAATGTGCGACCCGGCCTGAATATGACCCAAGCACTTAAAAATTAAATCTCGCACCTCACCTAAATGTTGGATTATCATTTCGGACTAAACGTTGCCCGAGCGCAGAGCATCTCCATTTGGTTGTCGTTTAGGTTTTTTGATTCAGAAAAGCTTAGGGTTTTTTGTTCGTGTTCGCCGATCAAAGTAAATTCGTGATTTCTCCTTACCAATATGGAATCAGAGCCCATGTAGACAGAAATCGAAGAGAGTCCTGTGAGAATGGAGACCGAGGAGCCTTTGATAATGGAAAATGAAAAGGATTCGAAAATGGTGACTAATAAACGCAAGAAGAACGAAGTGAAAGAGCGTAAGAAGAAGGAAATCCAAGAAGTATCATCCAGGTAATATATTTTTTTTTTGTGATTTTACTTTCATTGACAAGACTTTGTTAACATAGTGTGGAAATTCATCCACATAGTATATAAGCAATATTTTAGTAGTTTTTGAGTAACAAATAACTCGGGTATTTAGCTTAGACTTACTATTTTTGGGTAATATTTGCGTAGTATTTTAGCAATATTTGGGTAATATTTGAGAGTAGGTTGAACTAAATATCTCAAATTCAACCAATATTACCATAATAATATCAGAATAACACTGAAATAAAACCTGGATTTTAATAATAATACCAAACTAACACCACATAACACTACTGAAATATTACCTGAATATTACATGAATAATATTATATTAAACCTAAATAATACTATATTAATACATGAGTAATATCTAAATAAGATTGAATTAAACCTGAATTTTAATAATAATACTCAACTAACACCACATAATACAACCGAAATAAAGCCAGAATAATACCTAAATAATACTATAATGATTCCATGCATAATATCTGATTTTCTTTAATAATACCAACTAACACCATAGAAATAATACCATAATATCATCTAAATAATTCTATAAAATATACCTCAGTGATACCATAATAATGCTTAAATATTATCAAAATAATCCCAAAATAAAACCTATCTATCTAACCTGTTTCCACTAAAAACCTTAGCAAAGAGTAAATAACATTCAAATAACAACTTAATAATGACTATATGACCTTTATTATTTTTTGTATTATTTTGTTTTATGTAGATTTGTGAACCCAAGGTTCATGAGCTGTAGATGTCGGTCATCTGTAATGAGAGATGTGTTCGATGTCATCTGTAGTGAGAGATGTGCTTGATAAGGTCAGTTGTCATATCTAAACACATCAGGAATAGGGGTGTAAACGAGCCGAACATGAGCTGAGTTTGACTCGTTTATATTTCGAGCTCAAAAGGTGTGTTCGTGTTCGACTCGTTTGCTTAACGAGTCGAACACGAGCTGTTCACGAACAAA